AAGAGACTCAGGCTTTAAGAACAGTTGCTCCACACACCTCAGTTTCTGGCTACGAATCATTTCCATTATACATTTTACAAGGAGTTTAACCACTAGCACCACTCACACATAATCTGACACTGTTGGGGAGAAAATAATCAAATTCAGAAGAATGCTGTCTTATTCATTTCATATGAAAGAGTGCCAAATAAAACTTGAAAAACCAGCCTGTGATCCCTCTATGTATGTGTTTTACAATATTAGCAATTCATATTTTGTTTGCCTTTTACTCTTAATGATACGATAACAATAAGATAGTCAAATCACCTTAATATTTATCCTGGTATTCTTTATCATGTCCTATTTTCTTTTAAGTAAAAGCATTTCCAGAAACAAGTAGTGCCATGAAGCATAACTCTGAACAATAATTTTGAATCAAGATCATGTAAGGATAAAAGCCTCCGATTTTGGTGAAGAAGAGAAATGATAATTAAGTATTTAAACCTTCAACTGTCAAGGTCTCATTGGCTATCTCGATCAATACTTCTTTTCATGTCAACTTTAAACACTCAAAGTTGGATGGGAAGACTGCATCTTTGCTTTAAAAAGATGACTATAATTACGGTTCCTTTTTTTTACACAAATGGCCAAACGGAGAAGAAATGGACTACCAGATATAGGTAAGGAGCAATTCCTTGTGAGAAAAAGTTACTCTGAAATTCCCCCAAGGAATTGGCGAAGTAAAACCACAAAGTACATAGCACCAAGTTTTGCTATGAGATAGAATGCTACTTTACATATGCACATTAATATGGTTACTAAATTTATATTAAGGACAATAACTCAGTATTCCTACACAAATATTAAACATACACCAAGTTACATGAGGTGCTCAAATTATAAGAATTTTCATGGCTACTCAGAGAAACAAGGTTAAACTTAGCATGTGATTAGCTATTTTTCTTTATAAACAGAGCGCAGTGTTAAAAGATATTTGTGAATATTGCTGCTTGAGAATCCTACAATGGTTCTAGATTTCATTCTCACATTGTAGTGGGCTTACCTTGTAGCAAACAGGTACATCCTAGACAAGCTTCTGGCCAAATGAATGTCACACTCAGGAGTGGAATAAGGAGCATTTCACTGCCATGGTTGTTTCTGTTCCTCCAGGGCTGGGGAGCTTCCCAGCAGTCCCACCCACCTGTAGCCCGACAGCCTAAACCGCCCAGAACTCACATGCTAAGCTGGTGCCTGGGGGTGGGACTCCATTTAATTGGCCAATTAAAACCCAATGTCTGCTCTATAACAGAGAATTAGAGAAGGTCGGGACCTCAGTAAGTTTTCCTGAGAAGAACTTGCATCTTGAACAATGGCTAGAAATGAGGGAACTCTGTTTTGTGGACAAGAGGAGGAGGGGAGCAAGGAAAACTATTTGCTGGTAAATGCATGCAACTGAATTGTTTCCTTAGATGATCTTTGCTAAACCTACACCCTCCCACGTTTGAAAAAATGCAACTGTGTGCAAAAGTTTGTTAATGGCTTTAAGCGTCCCACAGTCAGGGAGGCTACTGCAGGAGGGTCTCTGTCAACATCCACTGTCCTAAGAACACTAAGTCAGCAGCATGAGGACAGAACTCATTGCCAAGGCAAGTTAAAGGGCAGCTGAACTAACCTTCCTGCCCAACTGGGAACAAGTTAGAAGTCCATCCCTGGACGTCTATTAGCCATTCCTCTTGATTTTCTTTACAGAACACATATTACCACATATGGGTAAATGGTTAATAATCAAATCAGATGGTTATTACAGTGATGACGACAGAAGAAGAGGAAGGGATGAGGAATTGCTGGAGCAAAGCACTGGTTTAAAAAAAAATCTTGGGATTTAAGGTAGAATATTTTGCTACCTTTGTGAATTCACTGCACTATCCTAGCCTGGGGCTTTGACAGATTTTAAGAAGCTGTGTCAGCAAAGATAAATTAGATCAGTAAGAATTCTGATTGACAAATTAGATATGAGAGAATTCAGGAATCAACAATAAAGGGAGGGCAGAATTTGATCTGGGAGACCACTAGGTCCTAGGTTACTGGGAGCGTCTTTCTTTAACTGGTGATTGGGCTGGCCCCTGTATAACATGGCGGACAAAGTTTCTTTCCTTTTTCTTATAAATGAGTGAAAAAGTACCTCTGGCTACTTTCTTCATGAAAAAAGGCTACTCACGCAGCACGTACACTATTGGGCTTGGAATTGGCTCATAAGGTATCCTAGCACTTTTTATTTCCCAAATAGGTGTTGGTAGATGGGTTTCTGGGACTTGTCACAAATTAAGACTAGCACAATGCCCACTACTAAGAGGATGAGCACATCAGGACTGCCCTGTCTGATGGAAAAATGAGATGGCACCATTCCTTTTTCCATATTTCAAGACAGGATATAGACCCCAGCCAGCTCAAGTGAGCTCCCAGTAACAAAGCTAGAATAATTTAAGCAATAAAATAAGTGTGTTAACTCATAATCATAATTCTTGCTGTTATAGTGAATGGATAAATAGAGAAAAGAGACAACTCTTCCTTTCAGAAGTCCAATTGACAAATATAAAAGGAATGAAATCTAAGATTAATCATCTTGAGAATACTGGAGCAATAACTGTCTCATGTAACATCCACCAGTCGATGCTAAAATCAGTGGGGGGAAGTTGGCGGAGAAACAGGATAATTTGCACTGCCTCAAAGTTATCTCCCTCAAGGTATTTATTAATCACCACAAAGTTAACTCCCTCAAGGTATTTATTAATCACCAGTAAATTTACAGTAGAGACCTAATACATTTCACCTTAACTAATTTCACTTAACATTAACACCAATAAAACATATCAATATCATATAATTTTGACAAGACACACTGTTTTTTTGGTTTCTTGCCAAAAAATGCAAAACTTAATATAATCTTGAGTCAACAACAAGCAAAAACCTAAAAAAAGGCATCCACAACACAACTGGTCCATGTTCTTTAAAAGTGTCAAAGTCGGCCCTCCCTGGTGGGTTAAAGCACTACACTGAGAAGCTAAAGCTACTTCCGCATGAGTTCGATTCCCGCCTGCCCCGGAGGAGACCACATGGCGCGGCAGACCCCCCCTGACCCGCCCGCTGCTCCCCTCAGCAGTGTACTTAGTTGATCTGCCTGTTCTGCTCCCCATTCTGTCTCTGGTGAAGCCTCTCACCGCCCCTGAGCCTCTGGCCTGTACCCCAGTTCTGTATGTACAAATAAATATATCTTTCAAAAAAAACAAAGTGTCAAAGTCATGGGTCCTCCCTGGTGGTATATGGGAACCTAGCTGCAACCACTTCAGCAGAGTTCGATCCCTGACCAGGGAGGTGACCCGCATGGCACCGCAGACCTCTCTTGTCCTGCCCGCTGCTCCCTTCAGCAATGTTCTTCAGTAAATCTGCCTGTTCTGCTCCCGACTGTCTCTGGTGAATCATCTCACCACTCCTGCACTTCTGGTCTATACTCCAGTTCTGTATGCATAAATAAATAAACGTTTAAAAAAAAAGTGTCAAGATCACAAAAGACTGAGGAAAGATCACAATTAGACCAGTCTGAGGAAACACGCCATTTGACACAATGTAGGAGACAGGAGTGGAAAAATGGACTTACATAGGGGGAATTGGTGAAACGTCTATAAAGTCTTAGTGTCCGTTTCTGGTAGTTTTATACTAATGCTAATATCTTGGTTTTGATGGTTACAAAGTTGTCAACATTAGAGAAAATTGGATGGTGGATGTATGATGAATCTCCAAAAAGTCTTTGTACATTGATGACTCTACAATTATTTCAGGGACCCTCCCTGATGGCGCAACAGGTTGAACCATTGCACTACAAAGCTAGCTGTAGCTACCTCAGCATGAGTTCAATCCCAGCCAGAAAGGTGACCCACATGGCCTGGCAGACCTCTCCTGACATGCCTGCTGCTCCCCTCAGCAGTGTACTTTGTCCATCTGCCTGTTCTGCTCCCCACTCTGTCTCCGGTGAAGCCTCTCACCACCCTGCACCTCCGGCTTGTACCCCAATTCTGTATGAATAAATATTTTTTTAAAAATAAAAAAAAAAAACACATGGTGGGGCGGTACATTTTTAATGATATTTGTTTACTTGCTGGGACTTACCCATTTGACAAAAATTGCTCCAATCCCTAAATTTCTTTCCTTCTTCAGGCATTCATTCATTTAATTGCAAGGGACAATCCTATGTCCACAAAATTTCATTCTAAATTATACTGATTTAGGTTTTAAGTTATATGTGCTTTTTCTTAATGGACCTGTGAGTCAATCTGAACAACTAATCTGCTAAGGATAGGCTTCAGGGGGAAAAATCCCCACCCTTTACAATTTTAATCTAATCTGTGTAGAAACGTATCATAAAGCACAAAAGTCTTCTAAAAAAAAAAAAAAGTTGTGAATTTATGCTTAAAAAGATACTGAGATCTGGGCCCTCCCTGGTGGCACAAGGGGTTAAAGTACAGCACTTATGAAACTATTTGCAACTGTAGCACAAGTTCGATCCCAGACCAGGGAGGTGACCCGCATGACGAGGCAGACCTCTCCTGTGTCGCTTGCTGTAGTGTACTTCAGTCAATCTGCCTGTTCTGTTTCTCAGTCTTTGGTGAATCCTCTCACGCCCTGTCCCCTCAACCTGCCCCTGCCCCACACACACCTCTGGCCTGTACCCCAGTTCTCATATGCATGAATAAATAAATCTTTAAAAAAAAAAAAAAAGATACTGAGATTAAATGATTAAGGTACCCTCCGATTGCCTTCTAGAAACTCAGTGCTCTTCGGAACCTAGTTTGAAAGCTGCCATTAAGCAAGCTGCCCTTAAGCTGGTTATCCTGCTGAACTCAGCTTCCACCTGACCCACTGATACCTGTCAGAACCCCCCTACCTCTCCCAACCAGCCTATGCCTGGAACTATTCTGGCCCCAATTACCTCTTCCAGCATCTCAGTCCTTTTCTATGCCTCTTACCTGTGTTTCAGCCGAAGCTTAACTCCTGGCCATGCTGCTTTCCTGTGCTGGGGGTCAGAGGTGAGGGGCTCTGGGCTGGAATCAAAGGCGCCAATATCTGCACACACATCTCTGGCAAAAACAGGAAAACAAGAAACTGAGATGATTGTGGCAGAAGGGACAAATAAGCCAACAAAGGAAAATGTGTGAAAATGGACCCTCCTCTAGAGCAGAGCAGCACAGCTAATGCTACAGATACCCCGAGCAGGCAGGTCTGTAAGGACGTGTCCACCACCCATTAGCAAATCCACAACAGGGGGGTCATTATCCTTCCCTATTTTTCTGGGAAGCAGTAAGTATAGTTGCCAATCTGAGATGATCAGACTTTCGCGGGGGGGGGGGGGGGTGTGAGGAGGGAAGAAAGATGCATTAGCTATTATAAAGAGGAACTGCCCCCAAACTGAGCGTCTGCCAGTAAATAAATGAAAACTGGACTCATGGGAGCAAGCTGCAGATGAGGTGGTTCCCTGAAAGCAGCCTGTGTGGCCCAGTTTCAGCATGGAGAGCCATCTCCTGGTGGAGCGGGCCTCTGTGCAAGGGGTGGCAGGTCGGAAGCACAGGCCAAGTCTTGAGCCCGAGCGATTTCAGACTGTTTGGATTCCACTACGCTGGAGGCCTTTCGTGTGTCCACTTCAATCCGCCCTCCAACCCCTTGGCCCCCAGTACCATTCCCATAGCTCTTTCCTCTATACTCCCAGGGAGGCAGAGAAAAATGTTAAGCCCTGCATGACCAATGTGCTCGCCATGGGAAAAGGCACAGTTCTCCTTAGGACAATCCTGGCTCCCAAACTTCCAAATGCCCCAGGCATACCCTGCGGGTGTCCCTGTGACCATCCCTTGCATCAGGTTCTGAAGTGGATTTGTACCACCCTGCTCTTGTGGCATCACAGTGAGTCTTCAGGATCTTTCTAAGTCTCTGAAAACCAAAGGAAGGCCTTATAAGCTGGACTCTGGAGACATGGAAACTGCAGTTATTGAACTGCATCAGCCCCGGTTGAGAGGGGATGGCGTTAGCAAATAGCTGTTGGCTTCTTTCAAGACAGGCTAGAGACATGTCCTGAGTCAACAGGGAGCTTCCAGTTCTAAACCACCATTTTCCTCTTTTCCTTATTTATTATCTAAGCTCCATCTCTTCCTTTCGTGACCACTTTTTCCACCACACTTAAGTTTCCTTGCTTTGAATATATTCAGTCTAACTCCAGACTTGATGTCTGGAAGGTCTGGTTGAGGTGGCCACACATCAACTGAGTGCCATTGGGCAAGAAGGCGCTCAGTCTCAGGCCTCTCAGCTGTAAAGTAGAAAAAGGGGGCAGGTGCTGCAGGGTTAGGAGCGTGGCTCTGGGGTTACCCTCTCCTGAGCTGGACCCTGGCTCTACCCACCCATCAGCTCTGTGACTGTCCTTTTTGCGCCTTGGTCGTCATCCCTGAAATGGGTGTGAAAGAACAAACACTTTCCTAGGGTTGTTGAGTCACTTACAGTGATTCAGGTCAAACATTTACAATAGAGCCCGGTACACAGTCACATAGCAGAGAGGAAACCAACCATCATTACATTTGCAAAGATGCAATGAAGTACCTAGATAATGTGTATTTACTGTCTAGCATATTTGGCATGTGCTTAAAAAAATACTTTCATATTTTTTACCATAACATCTTTTTTATTTATTTTTTTATTTCTTAAACAAAACAGCCACCACCATCCACTAGATTCCCTCTATCCTTGCTCTCACCCCAGATCATTTCCCCTCTGATCATGTTTGGCCGCCAGCCAGTGTCCACTGGTTGACTTTTGTTTGTTCATCTGTTTTGTTTCCTTATGTTAAAGGTGAATATAGGTGAAATAATTTAGTATTTGTCTTTCTCCTTCTAATTTTGTGGTGCATAGTCCCCTTGCTGCAAATGGCAACTTTCCACCTTTTTTATAGCTGAATAGTATTCCATTGTGTATGTATCACACCTTCTTTTTTCAATCTATCCACAGACACTTAGGTTGCTACGACAGCCTAGCTATTGTAAATGAAGTTGCAATAAAAAGTGGAGTGCACATAACTTTGTAAGTTAATGGTTTTCTGTTGTTTGGATAGCTATTGAGAAGATTGCTGGATCATATGATGGCTCTACCCTTACTTTTTTGAAGAAAGTTCTCGCTATAACATCTTTCTTTTTTCAATTTTACATTTTTATTGAAGCAATATAGCATTGCATTATATAAGCTTCAGGTGTCCATCACAGAAAACCAGCCAAGTGGCTTTATATAAAGTTCACCACATAAAGTCCAAGTCTACCATTCACCATATAAAAATCCCCTTTGTCCCATTTTACCCATCTCTATTCCCTCTTTCTGTAATCACTGATTCATTTTATAGTCCAAAAGTTTATTTTTTGTTTCACTGCATTCTGCATGTCACTTATCATATCTTCAAGAGTTCCTTTCAAATGAGATGTTATGCAAAACAGACATAGCTAAAAAGACCTAATTTATGCTGGGAATAGTAGCAAGAAGAGCCCTAGCCAGGAAATTAACATGTCAAAGCCTTTGCAGAATTCATCATGTGGTCCTCAGTTTCTCACACAGCCACCAAAGCCCCAAGCACATTGCCCATCTGACTTACACAGAGGGGGCAAGTAAATTCAGAGGTATCTCACTGTAGAATGCATGGGCGTAAGCACACCCAAGACCACTCCCTGGTATAACCCACCTGACAGCAAGCTTTCCTTTCCAAGGCTCCTCCAGACCCAACTGTGAAAGAACTCCTTTATGGAGTTCCTTTGCTCTTCTCCCCTGGTGCTGTCTTGCCTACACCATGTAAACAGCTGTCTGCAGAATGCACACTTCCACCCACCTGAGATGGCAACGCAGCCTGCCTCCCTCCAGACCCCCCCGAGTCAGCCCTGCACTGCTACCCCACCGGGACACAGCCCCAGTGATGCCACAAGACTGTGCTGGTCACTCCAGGTCTTTCCAATAGGACACGTGGTTTTCCTTAGGTCAGGAGTTATTCTAACAATTTCTAAACTAGGAAGGCAAGAACTGTTTTTTTGGTTTTTTTTTTAAGATTAGTTTATATATGCATACACAACTTGGGTACAGGAGCCGTGAGAGGATTCACCAGAGACAGAGTGGGGAGCAGAACAGGCCAACTGACAAAGTACACTGCTGAGGGGAATAGCGGGTGGGTCAGGAGAGGTCTGCTGCGCCATGTGGGTCACCTCAGGGGTGGTGATCGAACTCATGAAGTGGCTTTCAACTCTTAGTGCAATGCTTTAACCTGCTGCACCACCAAGGAGGGCCCAGAGCTGGTACTTTTAAAGTCTATTTTTCAGATGAACTACCTGCGACACAGAGGCTGCATATCTCAGCTAAAACCACACGTGGAATCAGGCTCACTTGGCACTAAAGTCATTGACAGCTACTCACTCACTCGCTCAGTCAGTCAGTCACTCACTCTTCTCCCTTTGTTTGAATTGTTTTTTGGTCATAAATTCTGTAGACCTTAGAATAATGAACGCAGATTTAGTCAAAACGGGTGGGAAACAATGCTGATGAGGCCATTCATTAGATATGTTGTCAGTATATTTATTTTCATTTAAAAATACCCAAGATGCTTTGGAATCAATGCAACAGCTTCAAGAGGAGTGAAGCAGATGGTTCTGCAGCCTTCCCTGGAGGCTCCAGAGAGAGGCACCACCCTCTCCTGGCTTCTCCATACTTGTGGGAGGTTTCACTTTGGCTTGTTTCCTCTGTGTGCAGGTGGGGTGAAGTGCCCACTCTGTGCTGGCTGAGAGGCAGGCACGCTGCTACCTGTGTGCATTTCAAAGTGCGGTTCACCCTGGCTTCTGACAGCCTGTTTGCTGGTCCCTCCGCAAAGGCCAGCAGGCCAGCGTGGTGCCTGGCCCAGAGGGCTGCTCAATAAATATTTGTTGAATGAAGTACTGCTCTGTGTTCAACAGATCAGTAACCTTTCTTCCCTCCTATCTCCTTTTAATTCACAAGTTGACTTCCTGGCTAAACTAATGGGACATTTGGGTGGACATTTTGTTGTTTGTTGCTGTTCCCCAATCTGAGTCATGGGGTAGGAAGCTGACCAAAGAAGTAAACTTTAGCAGGATCTAAAAAGTTTCTAGGAGCAAACAATCCCAGTATTGTCTTTCTTCTGCAAATAGTTAAGAAACAAGAAATCCAGGTCAACTATGTCTACTTTCTCCTTCCTCTGACAAGTACATCCAACCTATGTCCATCCTCTCCCCCAATATCTTAACTCCCGAAGTACTATTTACTACTTGGTATTCCACGAGAGCTGGGAACTGCTTTCTGAACTGAGAGTCACCTGCTACATAAAGAACAAGTTCTAGATCGCTCTGTTGCTGTTCTTTAGAGCACCATGGTCTGTGGGAAAGGATGGGGAGAGGGAGACAAGGGTACAAGTGGCTGGGCTCGGTCTGTTTGAGTGTCGCTTCAAGTCCTTTTCAATACTGGTTTCTGCTGAGTTTAAAGTTTTCTTTTGTCCTTTAAGGGGGAGGGGGCAAAAGTCACATCTCCTTGGCATGGACTATTACAATCTCATCTGGTTTATTTGTCAGATCACCATTTCCCTCTTCGTTGTGTTTCCTCCAGCAGGGAGGGGCTTTCTTACTGGGCATTCATGTCTGTCCCCCTCAAATTCAGCATCTACCCAGCAGCCAGCACAACCTTCGAAAAATCTAAACGGAGTATATAATTTTCTAATAAAACTCTTGCATAACTTCCTGCTGAACGTTTGGGTAAAATTCCAATTCCTTATAACTTGGCCTGCGAGATGTCCACCAAGCTGGCCCCTGCTCTCCTTGAGGTCTCCAAGACCACCTTGTTGTTCATTTTCTCACTGACTGTTCCTTCCTCTTAGAATAGTCTTCCTACAAATTCTTTACTCTCCTGACTACACAGACTCTGGTCCCAGGTCAACTATCACCTCCTCTAAAACCACTTTGTCTACTACAATTTCTTTCCAGGTACCTGGTCTTTCATTATTATTTTTAAAAAGATGTATTTATTTTATACATACAAAAACTGGGGTACAGGCCAGAG